AGGCCCCATTTCTTTGGTGTAAATCCAAAGAACAAGGGGGAAAGACTAGTGTCACAAGAGTCCCAAATATACAAATTCCACTGGTAGAAAACACCATCAAAGATTGCCAAAACAATGAGGAATTTCAGACAGACGATATAATACGGAAGAGGAATGGTTCCCAAACGGTTTCTGGTCTGTCATTTCAGACAGAACCGTTTTAGAACCGGTTCCCTACCGCAATATATTTGTAATTTCACACACAAACGCTTTTGTCCTTTTTAGGAAATGGGGCTGAAGCGTTTTACCTGTCAACAACTTCCAAGTATTCTTCAGTTTCCTCCCCCGGTTCCGATGTGCTTTTCCCCACCGTTTTTCACCCGCGCGGGCAACATCCGGCTTTTTTTAAAAAAAAACATTTGCTTTATATTGTTATAGCGCTATAATGGTACAACACAACAGCATTATATCAACCCCATTGGAATGCCTGGAGTGTTGTATTACAGCGCTATAGCGCTCTAAAGCAAACGTTAAAAAAAAAGCCAGAGATTGCCTGCATGGGTGAAAAATGGTGGGGGGAAAGCGGGAAAAAGCGGTGCAGTCTGAAATGGCAAACCGCTTCAGATCCAGGTCTTTACCGGAATGGGAAAGCCATGTGTGAAATGGCAGCCCTATACCGGTTTACTCCACGACGGATCAAAAACGGCTTCAAAACGGGTTAAAAAGGGTAATGTGCAATTCCTCACTATATTAAACAATTATAAAGTTGGTACCCCCCCCCGTGAGCTGACTGTTTCAGATATTTCTATTCCGCTTTTCCCTCCCGTGGTGGTGGGAATTGCCATCAGGTAAGAGCCGACTCACAGAATCACAGAGCTAGGAGGGCCCCTATAGGCCATCTAGTCCAACCCCCCAGCTTGATGCGGGATCAGCCGAGAGAAGTGTTTGTCCGGCCGCTGCTTGAAGACTGCCAGGGAGGGGGAGCTCACCACCTCCCCAGGCAGCCGAGTCCAATCTTGCACAACTCTGACTGTCAAAACGTTTTCCGTAATGTCCAGCCGGCACCTTCCCGCCCTTAATTTAAACCCCTTCTTGCGAGTCCTCTCCTCTGCTGCCAATAGGAATGGCTCCCTGCCCTCCTCTCCGTGACACAGCCCTTCTTCAAACCATTCAAGATGGCAATCGTGTCTCCCTCAGCCTCCTCTTCTCCAGACTGAACCTTCCCAAGTCCCTCGGCCTTTCCTCGGAGGGCTCCTTGGTCTCCAGGCCCCACGATCGTCCTCCTCGTCGCTCTTCTCTACACCCGCTCCAGTCTGTCCACATTCCTTTTGTGAAGTGAGGCCTCTTCTCTTGCTTCCAGGCACACACGTTTGCATGTTCACAAGCAGGGGTCATGTTGTAGAAAAAGAGGTGCAGGAGCTCATTAGCATAACTCATTAGCATAACTTATTTGCATACGCCACACCCCCTGAAATCACCAGAAGTGTGTCAGAAGGCAACACCCACCGCTCAGGCTCCACTGGACTGTTTTGGATTGCTAGCTATTGGGGGGGGGGGGCTTGCAGAGGAGGGGGGGCTTCTGCCTGAATAAAACTTGGTCTTAAAGGTGCCACTGGACTGTTTCCGACCGGGGCCTGGGGGGAGCTCTGCAACTTACCTGGCTGCTTCTTGCTCTGACTGAGGGCTGCTGGGAGCAGGGGGTGGGGCTTGTTGCATGTGCCCGCCCCCTGGGCTCTTTACTGCCGGAGCTCCGCTCCTGTGCGCTCCTGCAGGAAATGACCCCTGGCATGATTTTCCATGGTGTTATGCACATGTTTCTTCTTCTCCTACTGTGCCACTCCAAGTTGGATCAGCCAGGCTAGACTGCTCTCATCAGATCTCAGAAGCTAAGCAGGGTCGGCCCTGGTTAGTACTAGGATGGGAGACCGGCAAGGAAGTCCAGGGTTGCTATGCAGAGGCAGGCAAAGGCAGACCACCTCTATATGTCTTTTGCCCTGCCCCAGACGGCCCAGGCTAGGCCGATCTCATCAGATCTCGGAACCTAAGCAGGGTCAGCCCTGGCTCGTTCTCAGATAGGAGAACAGCAGGGAAGTCCAGGGTTGCTACGCAGAGGCAGGCGATGGCAAACCACCTCTGCATGTCTCTTGTCTTGAAAACCCTCTGGGGTGAGGCTTACCGATGATTGAAGAGTTTGTTCCTTTGCTGATCGGGTACCCGGCTTTTAATGATTACAATAGGATTGAATTTTCTCCCGTAATACTGGTTTGACGGCTTTTATACACTGTGAGTGCTGTGTGAAGGATCCTTCCTCCTACATGTACCATTTCAAAGTCTTCTGTGCATCATGAGTACTTTATGAAGTAGTATGAACTTCTTGAAGAAGAGCGATCGAAACGAAGATCAAAATCCGGAGTCTTCGTCTTGTCTGTGTACCATTTATGGACCTGCACTGTTCTTATCTATGTGCCATTTATTTGTTGTTGTTCAGTCGCACAGTCGAGTCCGACTCTTTGCGACCCCATGGACCAGATCACGCCAGGCCCTCCTGTCTTCTGCCGTCCTCTGAAGTTGGCTCGATTTCATGTTCGTTGCATCTATGACACTGTCTAACCATCTCATCCTTTGCCGTCCCCGTCTTCTTTGACCTTCAATCTTTCCCAGCATCAGGGTCTTCTTCTCCAGGGAGTGCTCCCTTCTCATTGGGTGGCCAAAGTATTTGAGCTTCAGTTTCATTATCTGGCCTTCCAGGGAACAGTCAGGGTTGATTTCTTTTTGGATTGACTGATTTGATCTCCTTGCAGTCCAAGGGACTCTCAAGAGTCTTCTCCAGCACCATAGTTCAAGAGGAATCTATTCTTCGGCGCTCGGCCTTCCTTATAGTCCAACTCTCGCAGCCATTTATGGACTTGCACTATTCATGGACTTGTACATTGTATGATGTAAATTTATTTTACTGATATATGTGGTCCTGTGCTATTTTGATATAAACTACCTCTGTTTTGCATGATTTTTGAGCACCTGGGGTCTGCATTACTTATACAGTGCTTGCTTGCTTTCTGTAACCCTATGGGGTTGCCCTACGTTAGCTGAGAGTTTTCTTTTCTTTTTGTGATTATTGTGTGTGTGTGTACGTGCACGTGCTCCTCGAAGTCATGGTTGACTCCTGGCAACCCCTAGTGGGGCTTGGACGTTTCAGAGAGGTGGCCTGCGATTGCCTGCCTCGGCGTCTTGGCCCTGGTATTCCTTGGAGGTCTTCCATCTGAGTGCTTGCCGGGATCGGCCCTGCTTAGCTTCCGAATTTTTGCTCACAAGCAATGCTCCCTCTAAGCTGTGGAGTAGCAAAAATTCTACTTTGTGAGCTGCTGGCATTAAAGTTGTGAGCGAGCGATTTGGCTACGGCATAAATTAGTTTGCTCCGGAGCCTTCCTTCCTGAGCTAAGACGAAAATGTGTGAGCCGGAGGCTAAAAAACTGTGAGCTAGCTCACACTCACTCAGCTTAGAGGGAACACTGCTCACAAGACTCCACAGCTTAGAGGGAACATTGCCCACCACCCCGTGCCACTGCTGAAAAGGTCTTGCAGGTTTTGGAATCTGTCCCCTGCCCACCAGCTCTATGCATCCAAGGCAAACGTGGTTTAAGAGCACACACCAGCCTCCTTTCGACTCTGGGGAGGGGGAATACTAATTATTTTATTGCCTTCCTCTGGCCTTTAGACTACTAGAAGTGGTTCCGGAAGATCTCTGTTCAGCATAGCGAGCGCCTCCAGTCTTGTGGGGCTCCTCCATCGTCGTTAACAGCTGTGTTCAGGCCGATATCAAACCGGCAAAGCTTTCCTCTCAACATGTCTCTGAGGCCATTTCCGCAGTAGTGAAATTCCCCACATTGACATTTTTAAAACTGCGCATGATGTGAAAAATTTCTGCAGTCGGTTTTTCCTCACCAGGTGCAAACCTGAAGTTCTCTCCTCCTTACTCCGTGTTTTCGGGATCCCCCGTTTTAGCGAGTTCCGAAAACACAGGGTAAGAAGGAGAAAACGTTGGGTTTGCGCCCAGTGAGGAAAAATCTACTGCTGAAAATTTCACATAACGCGCAGTTTTAAAAACGTCAAGATGGGGAATTTCATTTCCTTTGAACCAGAAACTATATTTCTGAACGCATGGCCTAAGGAACTGATTAATAGACCACACAAAGATACCATCGAAATTATGTTAGACGCAGCCAAAACTTCCATAGCCTCAGCTTAGAAGGACAGTAACCCACCTTCGATTGAGACTTGGTACAAGAAGTTATGGAACCATTTTCTCATGGACGCTGTCACCAGCAGATTACCATCCCCTTCCCAAGACTCAAACCAGGATGAGTTCACCAGCAAGTGGTATCCGATTTTGGATTTCTTGTCACAGAAGCAGTTAGTATCCTCTCAATGGTCCCAATTTCACTTATGGATTTGATGTTTGACTGAGCACTATATTACAAACTCCACTTAGGACATTTTATTGGTTATCTTTACTCATCTCTATGCAAGTCGACTAATGTTTAACCGGTCCAATAATGTGTTTTAGCCACATATTGTATTTGTACTGCTAGAACTGCTATCAATGTGCTACATATATATTGTTTTCATCTAAGAGTAATAACCACAACATATTGTTCTGTGTTTACAGTTATGCTATTCATGTTATGCAATTGTTTCAAAAATTCAGTACGCCTTTAACATGTTATTCTGTATACTACAGTTTTATTATGACATTTATTCTAATTATTAATAAAATAAAAATTTTCAATTTTTTTTTTTTTTAAAGATGGGGAATTTCACTTCTGCAGAAATGGTCTGTGCCGGGACAATCTTCAGGGGTTGGTTGGCCGAGGCCTTCACCTGACGTTGCCTCCTGGCACTGGGATTCAGAGGTTGACTGTCCCTGAACATGGAGGTTCTCTTTTGTTGCGTGGCTGGTGGACGCTGAATGGCCTTCTGCCGGTGTTCACAACCACCTTTCCTTTGGTGTTTCTCGTGTGCAGGGCTCCGTGGCTTCAAGTGGATCTCCGGTGGCTACCCCGCCAGCATCCACACCGGTCACCAGCCACAAGCGCATGGTCATCCCGAACCAGCCTCCTCTGACGGCCACCAAGAAATCCACTTCCAAGCCTGTGGCGCAGCCCTCTCCAGTTCCCGTGACGCCCGTGGGCACTCTGAAACCTCAGCCCGTTCCAGCCTCGTACACCACGGCCTCCACGGCGACCCGGCCGACTTTCAACGTGCAGGTGAAGTCGGCTCAGCCTGCTCCGCACTACCAGCCTCCGGCCCCCCAGTACAGCAGCGGGGTCCCGAACCAAACCCCTCAGCCTCCCCCGCTGGCCCCCTATGCTCCGTCTCAGCCTCGTGGGCCCAGTTATGGCTACTCGCCCCAACCGGTGCATTATCCGGAGCCTAGTTATGGCTATGCGCCCCAGCCGGCTCGCTACGGTGGGCGAAATGGAACGGAACCATCCTACATGCCACAGAACACCTGGAAACCAGAAGCCGGGCAGCCGGGCGGACTGCACCCTCCATCCAATATGAAGAAAGCCTTCCTCACCGAACCGGCTCCGGAACTTCAGCCCCCTGCCTTGCAACCGAAGGTAAGAGAGTCAACATAGAACCTCTAGAAAGGTGCTGGGAAGTTTATTGGTTGGTTGATTACCTCAGCTATGCGCTGCTTTTCTTCCCAGCCGGACTAGCCCAGACTATTTATTTGCTTCTGTATTTACTTTATTTGTATCTCGCCTTTCTCCACCCAAAGCAGCTTCCATTGTCCTCTTCTCCTTCACTGCATCCTCACGACGGCCCTGTGAGGTAGGTTAGGCAAAGAGTGTGTGACTGGTCCAGGGACACCCAGCGAGCTTCCATCATTTGGAGTTGGGAGTAAGCAGCGAAGTGGCTAGTTTTGCAGATGACACGAAGTTGTTCAGGGTGGTGAGAACCAGGGAGGATTGTGAGGGACTCCAAAGGGATCTGTCGAGGATGGGCAAGTGGGCGTCAGCGTGGCAAATGGGGTTCAATGTGGTCAAGTGCAAAGTGATGCACATCGGAGCCAAAAATCCTAACTATAAATACATGTTGATGGGGTCCAAACTGGCAGAGACTGACCAAGACAGAGATCTTGGAGTCGTAGTAGATAACTCAATGAAAATGTCAAGACAGTGTGTGATTGCAATAAAAAAGGCCAACGCTATGCTGGGGATTATTAGGAAGGGAACTGAAAACAGATCAGCCAGTATCATAATGCCCCTGTATAAATCGATGGTGCGACCTCATTTGGAGTACTGTGTACAGTTCTGGTCACCACACCTCAGAAAGGATAGTATAGCATTGGGAAAAGTGCAGAAAAGGGCAACTAGAATGATAAAAGGGTTGGAACACTTTCCGTATGAGGAAAGGTTAAAACGCTTGGGGCTCTTTAGCTTGGAGAAACGACGGCTGAGGGGTGACATGATCGGGGTTTACAAGATTATGCCTGAGATAGAGCAGGTTGAGAAAGAAGACCTTTTCTCCCTTTCTCACAATACAAGAACTCGTGGGCACTCCATGAAATTGCTGAGCAGTCAGGTTAGAACAGAAAAAAGGAAGTCCTTCTTCACCCAAAGAGTGATTCACACATGGAATTCACTGCCACAGGAGGTGGCGGCGACTACAAGCATGGGCGGCTTCAAGACGGAACTGGATAAGCATATGGAGCAGAGGTCCATCAGTTGCTATTAGCCACAAGGTAGAGATAGGAACTCTCAGGCTGGGGTAATTGATGCTCTGTCATCTTGGTGCTTGGGGGGGCAACAGTGGGAGGGCTCCTAGTGTCCTGGCCCCACTGCTGGACCTCCTGATGGCACCTGGTATATTTTTGGCCACTGTGTGACTGAGTGTTGGACTAGATGGGCCATTGGCCTGGTGCAACACTGGCTTCTCTTATGTTCTTATCATGGTCAGTCTTGTCTACTCAGACTGGCAGCGGCTCTACAGGGTCTCAGGCGGAGGTCTTTCCCATCACCTCCTGCCTGGTCCTTTTCAACTGGAGATGCCGGGGATTGAACCTGGGAGCTTCTGCATACCAAGCAGAGGCTTTTCCACTGAGCCATTGCAGTTCCCTAAACCAGGGCTGAACGGAGGACATGGGCTAGGAATCCATGAGGGGAGGGGCCATGGGGAAGAGCTTTTGCTTTGGATGGGGAAGGTCCCAGGTTCGATCCCCGGCATCTCCAGTTAAAAAGGACCAGGCGGCAGGTGATGGGAAAGACCTCTGCCTGAGACTCTGGAGAGCTGTAAAGTGGGGCTGTGGAAGATACTGGGGAGAGCTGTCAAGAGGGGCTGTGGCTCAGTGGAAGAGCCTCTGTTTGGCATGCAGAAGGTCCCAGGTTCAATCCCCAGCATCTCCAGTTAAAAAGGACCAGGCAGGAGGTGATGCGAAAGACCTCAGCCTGAGACCCTGGACAGCTGCTGCCAGTCTGAGTAGACAATACAACAAACGTAGAGCCCAGCGGGGCACCTTTAAGACCAACAGAGGTTTATTCAAGGCATGAGCTTTCGTGTGCCTTGCACTTTTTGTCAGATACAATAGAACGGCAGGCAAGGTTCAGACTTCCAGCCAGAGAATGAACACCAAATTAACATACAAGGTAATGATGATCAAGATATGCAAAGTGACACTAAATAGCAAGTGAAGGTTAGAAGGTCAACAGTTGTCAAGCAATAAATATGTCAGACTAGCAGTTGTTGTTGTTCAGTCGCACAGTCGAGTCCTTCCGGTCTTCCGCAGTCCTCTGAAGTGGGCTCAATTTCATGTTCGTTCCATCGATGACACTGTCTAACCACCTCATCCTTTGCCGTCCCTGTCTTCTTTGACCTTCAGTCTTTCCCAGCATCAGGGTCTTCTTCTCCAGTGAGGGCTCCCTTCTCATTGGGTGGCCAAAGTATTTGAGCTTCAGCTTCATTATCTGGCCTTCCAGGGAACAGTCAGGGTTGATTTCTTTTAGGATTGACCGATTTGATCTTCTTGCAGTCCAGTCTTGCAGTCTAGCAGATAAACGTCTAAAGGTGTTTTTTCTAATTGTGGGAAGTGTCTGGAAATCCTCATTCTCTCCCGTCAGGCGTGGAGGGCACTGTTTTGCTGTTCAGCCTCCGTCTATGAGTTTGAACCCTTACCTTCCATTCCAGTGTATCTGAAGAAGTGTGCGTTTACACCAAAGCTCATTCCTTGAATAAACCTTTGTTGGTCTTAAAGGTGCCCCTGGACTCCAAATGTGTTGTACTGCTACCGACCCACACGGCTGACCAACTGAGTAGACAGTGTTGACCTTGAGGGTTCCCAGTGGTTTGATTCAGCAGCATCAGGCAGATTCATGTTTGTCCTGTCTCTAAAGCTGATAAGGAATCTCATTAGCGAAATGTGCTCCAGGAGTGGAGGAGGTCAGGGCACGTCATAGAACAGGAACACACACACACACACACAAACACAAAAAGCAACTGAAAGCTACATTTTGTCACTGGTTGCAAACAAAAGAATCGTTGTGGGCAAGCAGTACATGGTGCATAACTGTGCAGGAGGTGTTCATAATGTAATACCTGGCGTTCTTCTTCTTTTGTGGGCACAACCTTGGGGTATGATGCCTCCGTAGATCTGGAGTGTGAGGGCATCCCTCAAGTCAACAGCACTCTTGGGATGGGCCTAGTAGTCCACACCACAATAACTTTCCAAGGACTCCCTAGAATCATAGAATAGAATCATGGAATCGTAGAGTAGGAAGGGACCTCCAGGGTCATCCAGTCCCACCCCCTGCACAATGTGGCGAATTCACAACTACTTCCCCCCCCACACACACACCCAATGACCCCTATTCCATGCCCAGAATCATAGAGTGTTAGAGTTGGAAGGGACCTCGCAGGTCATCTAGTCCAACCCCCTGCACTCTGCAGGAGCATAGCTGAAAGATAGCCCTACATACCTACAACATACCCGAAAGATGGTCATCCAGCCTCCACTTGAAAATGTCCAGCGAGGGAGCATCCACCACCTCCCGAGGCAAACTGTTCAACTGTTCTACCACTTTTACAGTCAGGACGTTTCTCCTGATATTTAGCCGGTAACGCCTCCCTTGTAATTTCCACCCATTGGATCTAGGCTTGCAATCCGGAGCAAGAGAGAATAGATCTGCTCCATCTTCTACATGACAGCCCTTCAAATATTTGAGGACTGCAATCATGTCCACTCTAAGCCTTCTCTTTCCCAGGCTTTTCAGTTTAAAAAAGATATGACTGGGGGGGGGGGGGTTAAACAGACCCAACCCTTTCAGCCTTTCCTCATAAGACTTGGATTCCAACCCTCTCACCATCCTGGTTGCCCTCTTCTGGACACGCTCGAGCTGGTCAAACTCCTTCCTACAATGTGGTGCCCCAAACTGGACACAGGACTCCAGGTGAGGCCTGACCATGGCAGAACAGAGCGGAACGACCACCTCCCGTGATCTGGACACAAGGCTTCTGTTAATGCATCCTAAGATTACATTAGCTTTCTTCACAGCCACATCACACTGCAGGCTCGTGTTTAGCTTGTGATCCACCAGGACACCTAGATCCCTTTCACATGTGCTGCTGTCAAGCCAAGAAGATGGCTAAAACAACCCTCCAGGATCCCTGGCTAAACTGGCCTGGAGAACAATTTCTTCCTGACCCCGAAGTGGCAATCAGCATTTCCCTGGGCGTGAAGCAAAGGGCCATAAGAACTAAGCACTGAGGCAACCCTTCCTGCCCTCCCTCTCATGATCTGCCTACGTTCACACAATCCACATTGCTGTCAGGTGGCCATCTAGGCTCTGTTTGAAAACCTTCCAGGAAGGAGAGCCCGCCACCTCCTGAAAAAGCCTGCTCCACTGAGGACCTGTCAGGAAGCTCTTCCTAACGTTTGGCCGAAAACTCTTCTGGTTTAATTTCAACCCGTTGGTTCTGGTCCGACCTTCTGGGGCAACAGAAAACAACTCCACACCATCCTCTATCTGACAGCCCTTCAAGTACTTGAAGATGGTTTTCTTTTTGATTACATATATGGTTACATCATGATTACGTTCATGGTTACGTCATGGTTGTATGCCAGTCCCTGACACTGTTGGTGGAGTTTGAGGAATCTGCTCCGTTTCGGAGGGAGAATTCGGTGGGAAACTTTGCCTCCGAAAAAGACAACCAAAATATGTTGGACATGTTTCAAGAACCTGCATCCTTGATACCATGCAGATGCTTTCCAAGGGTTGCTAGCCAACCACACTTGACGGTTCTGATCTGCAAGGTCTCGCTTGGTCTGGTGAACAAACCGGGGAGTCCGAAAAGCTGTTCAGTTGCAGATTCTACCCGGGTGCATTTAAAATCTATTCTAGATGGGGCCAGCTCTCCAGTTTGGTGAGTCAGTTTGATGTAGTGGGTAAGTGTGTGGACTCTAATCGGGGAGAACCAGGTTTGTTTCCCCCACTCCTCCACTTGCACCTGCTGGATGACCTTGGGCAATTACAAGTTGAAAACACTCAGTGTATCTGGGATTAAGTGTTTGTTTATGTTACTCACAGGAAGTCACATGTTACTCACAGGAAGTCACATGTTTCTC